ATTGAACATCGTGGAAGAGGAGGAGAAGACGCCCATCAGCACTCCCAACTCTCGCGCAGACCCTATTGAGCGTCGCACCGCGCGGCTTGATGTCACTGCTTTACCTCGGATCAGGAAGGCCAAGGGTCAAGGCGCTGGACAACGAGCCCATGGCTTTCTGGATCCATTCGCCCGCAAGCGCCCTACGGTGGTGCGCAACGCCTTCCGTGGTTTACATCACCGTCTGGCACCGGATAGCGATGACGACGTCTCCGAAGACGAGGCGGAGAACCGTGATGATTCTTTAGCTCGCGAAACTGAGGAGCCTGAATCACGACCGCGCAGCCGCATGAGTACGGATGAAGATGCTTTCAAGGATGGATTCGTCGATGAGGATTCTATGACGGAAGCTAGCTTTTCAGTCAACGATGTCCAGCCTCGGTCGAAGAAGAGGAAGTTGGATCTGCAGATTGAAGCTGCAATCAAGCGACAGAAGAAGACGGACGAGGAGCTTTTCGGAGTTACTATTGATACTTTGGAGACGGAATTCCCAAGTCCAGATGACGTGAAAGATATTATCATACCTGATGCAGACGCAGACGATGAAGAGACGCCAGATCCTACTTTGCTGACACCTGTCGATAAAACGGCCAAGGGTAAGAAGAAACCAGCTTTGGCCAAAATCAAGAAGAAATCGAAAAAGCAGATCTTCGAAGAACGTGAAGCTTTGAAGAAGCAACAAGGGGATGCATATGTCGAAGAGGTTCTAGAGCAGACCGAAAAGGAGGAGACTGTCGAGCCTGATGAGCTGGTACAGAAATCCTCACCCCCAGTCACCCAAGAGCCCGAAAAGCCGTTTGTGCGAGATGAAAGGTTCTCGGATGCTGTTGTGCCAGCCATGGCCCTCCCGAACAAATTCAGGTTCGGGGTTGAATCCATGAGGGGGTTGACGCTCGAGGAAAAGGACCGCCCTGATATGACTAAGCTCAAGAAGAAGTTCTCAGTCGGTGATATTGGCGATCCTCGACTCTGGACTTGGCGGCATAATCGTGTCAGAGAACTCAATGCACCAAAGGCCCAACCCACCGAGCCACTGGTCATCGAAGGCTACTACGTGTCGAACTCCACAGGCTGTGCCCGCACTGAGGGTGTCAAGAAGATACTTAACTCGGAGAAGTCCAAGTATCTGCCGCATCACCTCAAAGTCCAGAGGGCCAGAGAAGAACGGCAGGCACGTGCAGAGAAGAAGGATGGCAAAGACACTGTTGCTGCAGCTGCAGAAGCAGCAAGACTTGCTGCTGAGAAGCTTGTGGCCAAAGGCAACTCCCGAGCCAACCGAGTCAACAACCGACGCTTCGTGGCAGATCTTAATGACCAGAAGAGGACTCTTGGTCAGGATTCTGATGTTCTGCGGTTTAACCAGCTTAAAAAGCGGAAGAAGCCCGTCAAATTTGCACGTTCGGCAATTCATAACTGGGGCCTGTACGCAATGGAGAACATAAACAAGGACGACATGATCATTGAGTACGTCGGTGAGGAAGTACGTCAACAAATCGCCGAGATCCGTGAGAACCGCTACCTTAAGAGCGGTATTGGCAGTAGTTATCTCTTTCGAATTGACGACAACACCGTCATCGACGCTACCAAAAAGGGTGGTATTGCTCGGTTCATCAACCATAGTTGCATGCCGAACTGTACCGCCAAGATCATCAAGGTTGAGGGAAGCAAGAGAATCGTCATCTATGCGCTTCGGGACATTGCTCAGAGTAAGCCTATATATCCTGCCATATTAGCCCAATATCCTCGTACTAAATGCTAACCTGATTCCACAGACGAGGAGTTGACATACGACTACAAATTCGAGCGGGAGATCGGTAGCCTGGACCGCATTCCTTGTCTCTGTGGCACCGCCGCCTGCAAGGGATTTCTCAATTAATCCTCTTCCGCCTTGCTCCATGACAATTGTCCTCGTCTCGGGCCTTTTCTGGTGGCGGATTCTCCTCTTGACTTTGACTTTAGCCTACCACCTGCTTGAAGTTGTACCTTGGGATTGTTGACTTGGTTCAAGACACGATCCTACGTGAGATGGGTCCTCGCGTTATATATGCATATAAGGTTGTTCATCGAAAGGACTGCGCACACCAGTCTAAGGGGGGGCCTCGAGAGTCTTGATGTACACTATCTTTTCGGTTTGCAATTTCGTCTCTTGCGCTCGGCCAAAAAGGGGCCGAAGCGGAACTTAGATAGGCGTTTTGATTTGCCAGTCGAGCAGAAGATCCATCTGATTCTACTGGACAAGGCTGGCAGAGGATTTTCCATTTGAACATGGAAAGTGATGAATGGCATCATCAACCTAAAGGAGTCACACAGTAGTATTCGTGGTCTATACAGGCCGGGATCACGGCGCAACGAACGAAAGGACCCTGTTCCCACCCAGGATGGAGCTGGGATCTAACGCTTGGGTGAAGAAAAGTAGAAGAGAGGGGGGGGGAGAGAGTCGAAGTGCTTAGCACAGACATGTACATATGGAGTGGTGGTCCGGCATCTGCTACGAGCATGAGCCTAGGATATTAATCACGCTGTTTATAAGATTAACACTTCGGCAAGGCACATCTAGCAGCATCTTTCGATTTACCTCCATAATAACGTGATCCGGTCAAGCTTGTCAAGTTTCAATTGGATCACCCTAATGGATGATAGCTTCTGCGTCCTCGTAACGCCACATGCCATGCCACAATCTGATTCCCTACTGGTATGTAAGTCCCGAACGCCGGTTGCTGATCCTCTTCCTGCTGTAACAAGCAGCCAGGTAGGAATCGCCCTGCAACTGTCTTGGCTGCCGTCTTCTTACTTTGGCTTCTTCATCGTCGAGATGGGCACCTCACCCTCATCGGTCTTTGAGTTCAGATATGAACAGAAGCGTCATCCTGACTCTGTCGTAGATGACTACTTATACGCCTTCCTTCGAATGCCCTTTACGCAGGCGCATCGGGTAACCTGTAACACCTGGTATCAGCATGTCCCAGTCCAGTTGTGTATTGGTATGCACGAGCTCAGAAGTGGATGGCTTGAGGGTTCCATCACAGCTTCTGCTCCCAAACCAGGAATCAACGGGAGAAAATAGGGTCGAAGTGTAACGTACCTTTCAATAGCGTACTTGCCCTTCGCAACCGACATGATAGGCACACCTGGAATACGTCGAATCCTGTTCTTCACTGCAAGGCGCGGTGTTTAGCAAGAACTGTAAACAGATTCCCCGGCATTCCAAGATAAAGAGCGGAACGCATCATAACTCACAGTCCTTGTCGTTCGTTGCTACGAGGTAGATTCGGTGCTTGACACAGCGATCTACAATGCAATCATCGGCATATATGCCCTGCAATCTGGGGTCAGCCCGGCACTATAGTTCGACCAGTCCAGTGGAATTATACCTTGTGATCACACTTCAGCCGTTCCCATCTCGTATCTCTCGCTATCCGGAGCGCTATCCTATATCGAGGACCCAGCTTCTCCAACTCTGCCTGCAACATTAGTCAGTAATCGGTAGAAGATAATAGCGATGGATGGGTGGGCTCGCCATGACGCAGTCGGTGATTATGGGGATACACTTGGCGTATAGTAGATCCATCATCGACTCGAGAAGGGGGAGTTTGCGCTGCACTGTGTGGGAAATAAAATTGGTGCTTCTCGTAGTTAGCTATGCGTCCTTTCTACATAGCGCCTTTGGTTGTACATACTCCACAAGCACATTATATGGTGGTACCAAGGCCGTGTTTGCCTACAAGCTATTTAGTGGTGCACGCGGGAAGAGCACAGGCGGCAGGGTTACCTGAAAGAAGAGGTTGCTGGGTAGTTGGGGGACTTCGCGGATGATGTCGGAGGAGGCGGCGGCTTTGGTCTTGGTCTTGTTGTTCTCCTCGCCTTTGCTTGCATTCTCGCGGCGGCGGGCATCGTTCTTCGATATTATTCGCTTCACCTGCGGGAGGCGAAAGCCATCAGCGTCCGACTTGAAAATGTCATGCTTATCGATAAAGGTGGTGATGAGGGTCTTGGTGTTGAGGGGGTGGGACGGGGCGGTTTACCACAGCGAATTTGCGAGTCTTCTTTTGCACACCCATGATGCCTGGTTTCGAGTGGTACCTTCCGTTCTGCTCGAATGAGGGGGAGATCGTATCTGGGTTGTTGACGTCGGATCGCTGGATGGTAGTGGTGGACTGGCCCAATGCCGTTATGTTCGAATACTGCCGTTTGAAGTCGCGAAAATTTGGGCGGTGAAGGGGGATTTCTGATTCTGATAATGATAATGCGAGCGCTTACAGGGATGTGGATTTTCGGGGTCTGGGTTCCCACCCACACTACGTCAGCCAGGGGCAGCCAAAATGCAACGCAACGATTCTTCTAACTTGGGTTTCCCAATTCCTACAGTATTTGAGTAGGGAACTAGTGCCCTCACCACTCAAGGCGTGCTTGCTTTGGTCAAATGATCAAGCATTATGTATCTTCCTCAATTCCAGTAAGATATATTAGATGCTATTGGTTTTTTTGAAACATGGATGGCTACACAGTCTTTAATTGTTACTCTTTCAGTTCAATCGATGCTTCTCAATGCCGTACCGTTCCGGATTAGCTTTGTAAGTGGCTACTTACTTAGCCAAACAGGATCAGTTGACGACAGCCTATTCAGTACTACCAGGCCGCAAAGTGTTTCTTCACTGACTTGCTGCTGTGCGAGTTAACCGTGTTCGCAGACTATTCAGGCTCCCCGTGAATCAGCAGATCGGTCCGGTCCGGTTCGGTTCGGTTCCAGCTACACCAGCTCCATGCTCACCCTGAATATAGCCAGTGTGGACCTACTCAGCTCGACCGTTGCGACTTGGCCGTGACGTGGATGGCGGATGATGATTGTATTTCGGAACGGAAGTCGAGAAGGATCCCAAAGTTAGGAGGGAAAGGTTCGGCTGATACTCGGAGAGCTGGCACCTGAACATGGTGCAGAATAACAGGGTTTAAAATTTCAGAAAGTTCCTGTGACGCAGCGGTTTAGCGTGTCGTTCTTATACTGATTGGGCAACCTATCTGTATGGTGAGAAATGCGAAAGTCGTGAGTTCGATCCTCACCAGGAACATGAGCAATTTTTGTCATTTTTGCATCTTTGCATCTTTGTTAGGTCTAGTTCATCTTTCTATCTCTCTCTCCCTCTCTGCCTTACTGCGGCCTATGGTGTCGCTTCCGAAACATACAAGGAGCTTTACTCATATAGAGCAGACGGGGAAGCGAATTTACTCAGAAATACGGTCCTAGTGAAGTCAAGGCTTGCGCTCTGAGAAGCTAGAAAGAACACTGTGCAAATAGCGATTGGAGGGCAAGGTACAAAAACTGACGGGCTCTAACCCGGGATCGGGGTGCCCTACTAAGGATGGCCTGGTGATTTCAGTGAGCTTTTTTTGCACCTGCCGTGCTACTGTAGGTAGGATGGCATGGCATGGAACTGCCATCTGCGAACAGTGGTTAACGTAGCCGACGGATACTTGGCCACTGCCACAAGTCTGAGTCTGTACACAGTACAAGGTTGGGACAGCGTAGCTTAGAACACTGCCATAACTCGACGTCACCTTAAATCTCGAAAAGTCTGTACGACTAAAGTGATAGCAGGGCAACTTGTAGACTTACTGGATTAGTATTCGATATGAACATGGAATGGACGAGGGGTAGTGAAGGCTTTGTTTCTGTAGACTTCTGTAGACAGTGGGCCCATCTTGCATCTTGCATGTTAGTCACCTGCAGGCGTCGGGGCTATGTTATGCTAGGATGTCGCTAGGTAGGAACACAATTCATTCACTGGTGCACTCACTCCACTTGAGACTCGACACTCCTTTTCGCGCATCGCATCGTATTCGCTTTTCTCATCCCACGATCAGCAGACTCTTTTCTTCGCTGACTGGTTCGCTGAGGGGAATGCACACGACGATGCCATATTGAGCCTTGTTTCTTTTACTTACTTTGATTCATTTTCTCTACCCTTGGCGACGACTGTCTTTCACTGCTTTGTTCCTAGTGCCCGTGCGAGCGGATGTGTGTCACTTCAATAGATTTCAAAAGCAACAACATCGAATACGAGTCGGCTAGGACATATGGGCGTTCGGGCAGGCTCATAGTCAACAACCTCGCCACCCTCGGTCGTTTCTGTCCATTTCCATCATTTCGGTCGTTGCTACACCTCCCCAAATAACTTTTCGAGACGGAGCGTATTTAGGCCAGGGGAGTCAAACAACATGGGCCGCACACATCTCTCAATGAAGCGCGGTCTGCTTCTATCCACGCTCGCTATCTTCGCTACCACGGCCATCGCCCAGACCACAACTGCTGCTGCTGCTGCTGCTGCTACAACTACCGCAGAGACCGCAGAGACCACAAACACCGCTGCCGATGACGCAACGACAGACACGGATGCGGCGACAACTGTGCCCGCCATAACTAGTGCTGCTACCACCACCACGGCTGCGACAGCGACGTCTGTTCCCAGTGTAACCAGCGGAACCACGACATATGCGTCTGTTCCCAAGCTTTCCGACAGCAACACCTACAGCTACGCTGCCCCCACCGTCCCGCCCACGAACAATGCTCCCTACATGCAGAAATCCACTATGCCCGAGGGGACTGTCTTCATCGCCGTTGGTGCAATCCTGGGTGCTTGCGGCGCTGCCATTCTCATATGGCGCGCTGTCGTTGCTTGTCTCCTTCATAGATCTGTCAAACGGGCAACTTTGGCTCAGCACATGGCCAACGACAAGATGACCGTTCACGGTGCAAATCATACCCCCTTCTACAAGTACAGTGATCGCGAATCAACGTTATCGCTCGGTGCCGCTACTGCCACATCAGGTCGCGGAGTGCGGAGGACTCAACGCGGTCCTATCCCATCAGCGACGCCGAGTCAGACGAACCTCTTCTTCTCTCCGACTGCCGGAAATCCCGGAACTCCCGGGAACCGGTCCTCCACTTTCCTCCCGTCTGGTTTCTATGCTGCTGGCCAAGGGGCCCCGCAGCAGGGTCATGAGCATTCTATCAGCATGAGCAACCTGAGGCCAGATTCGCGCGGTATTGGACGCGCCATTGGTCACAGCCCGCCTGAATCGCCAGCGGTGACACCGCGAAGGGACCCGACACGCCGGAACCCGCAGATGAGCACAAGCTCATTGAACTTAAATCAGTTACCGACAGGCCGGGCACCCAGTACGTACCTGGAGGATCTGCTAGATGACCAGCCTGGCCAGTTTCCCCCGCAGGGCGGTTTCCACAACTCCAGTCAGTCAAGAGACCGTTTCTAAGCGTCTCGATTTGTAAGTTTCGTTGAACGATTGGCTTTTGCCATCGGAACAGGGCGCCAAGCTGAACGGGGTCTGCATCTGGGGTCATCATGTAGCAAAAGTTCACGTCTTCCGGTATGGGCATTGGAGTAGGAGTTTTACGGGGCGCTGGTTTGCCGGACTTTCTGGCTTGTACTGCATAGATTCATTACTCGTTTACTCGAGGTACATATTTTCTTCGTCCTCTGGTTCATCATTGGTTCATCATTGGTTCATCAATGGAAAGCAACACCAACTAAGATCGTCCCAAACATCTGTCATCGGGGTCACAAGTCCTCGGCCGATAGGTGTACGCTTCCAGGACAGAGAAAAATTACTCGATCCGTCAAGCCTCACGTTCTAAGTTATACCCGTGTACGGATATGTATGCGGACTGAGGCTAATTGTTGCCTAAGCTAAGCAAGCCATGCTGTCCGCGTAGGTTGCAGACGCATGAACCCAAACTAAACCTCCTCCAACATTATGCATGCCTAGCGGCGCCATGGAAAGTCTATCCAATCTCATTATGCCAACTGTCAAATCCCAGTCCTCCAGGTTATCCCAACACCAACGACCTGGCCGAGTCTAATCAGACCCCCCTGGGCTGACACTTGTCTACCCAGCCATCGGAAGCGTGCTGATGTCTCGTTGCCCCAATCGGAGAGCAACCCCCAGTTCAGGATCGATGGGGGACAGGGATGGAGTATAAGCCAGCTGTGTGGTAGGTCTTCGATCCTTGGCGAGCCGGACCTATTAATAGTCTGCTGATTGAACCCTGAGCAGTTCGATATGCCGCTTGCTCGGATCCCACCGAGTGACTGCATGAGGCAAGATGTCTTCAGAGTAGAGCTTCTCGTTGTTTCCTGCGGGTTTCTGATTCAATCCGTTCTTCGAATCCTCACCGCGGGCGATACACCTCACAATATATGCACTTTGTGTGTGTGTATATCTGATGATTACTATCAAAAAATGGCCGAATTACGCTCCCCTTTTGTGACCGTGATACGCCTGACAACCATGCGGTCCAGTAACCCTAATGCAATACGCAGAAGTGTCGAGCCAGCCACGCAACTCGCTTTATAAACTCCAGCACTTCCAAGGTTCAGAATACTCCGAACCCCGCTTGGAGCTCTGCGCTCTGCTGCCACTCCCATCTTAAGCCAAACACCATCGTCTCCTCCCAAATCTCTTCACAACTCGTGCTTCTCCTCACCACTCCCGCTCGGTCCAGGCTTCGCGTCATCATCGTCATCATCATCGGTACTGGTGCCGCTCTTCTCGTTGAGTTCTTGCACCGCTCCACTGATGTCCTCGAACCGGATCCCGCTACGATCACACATGCTCCTGAAGATGCCGCCCTGTTGCCAGAGATTCAGCGGGCTGTCGAGCTCGGCGATGCGTCCGGCGTCCATGACGCAGATTCGGTCGTACCCAATAATGGTCCGCAATCTGTGAGCGATGCACAGCAGCGTTCTGCCCCTGAAACCTGTCGCGATCGTGTTCTGGATCTTGTCGTCGGTCTCCATGTCGACGCTAGACGTGGCTTCGTCGCAAACGATGATCTTCGAGCCACGCACGAGAGCACGGGCCAGAGCCATCAGTTGGCGTTGACCGAGGGAGAAGTTGAGACCGTCCTCTTCGACGGTGCTGTCGAGGTTGATGCGGCTAGGGTCTTTTTCATCGATGGCGACGTCGTGAGGCACCAGATCAGCCTGTCGCAACGCAGACCAGAGATCGAGGTCTGAGTGCTGGTTGAAAGGATCTAAGTTACTGCGGACGGTGCCGCGGAAGAGGGTAGGATCTTGCGGGATGATGGCTAGACGGGAACGGAGATCGTGCAGGCCGACCGTGGAGATATCAAGGCCGTCAATGGTGATGTGGCCTCCCGAAAGTTCGACGAGACGGAACAGTGTCGACATGATCGAACTCTTTCCAGCGCCGGTGCGGCCGACAATACCGATCCGCTCGCCACCCCCGACGTGCATGGACATCCCCTTGAGTACAAGCGGCAAGTTAGCACGATACCGCATTTCGACATTGTCGAAAATGATCTCGCCCCTTTCGGGCCAGGACGGGCGCACTTCAATCGTGTGCCCCGGGGCCTCTTCCTCAAGCTGGGTGCCGTAATACAGGATACGTTCCACCGCATTCATGCCGTTCTCCACCTCGGCCAACTGCCTGATCGTGAACTGCAGCATCTGAACAATGCCCAGGATGTAGGAAAGCACGAGACCACCGATCGACGGCGAGACTGAGAACCGGGACGTGACAACCAGAATCCCCGTGGTAAAGACAAGCAAGTTCCCGATGAGATCTAGCCGCATGGACAGCCACCGCTGATTCGAATAGGTCAGGTAATAGGCCGCGTTCATTTCGTCGATTGCCTTGCGTATATCCGCCGTGAAGCGGTCTTTCAACCCGTACGCTCGGATACAAGCCACACCGCTGAGGCCTTCGCCGAACTTTGCGAAGACGACAGAGCGGAGGATGGATTCAAAACGCTTGACTTCACGCGCAGACGAGCGGTAATACGAAGCGGCCATAACGAACAAAACGGCTAGTGGCACCAATGCGATGGCGAAGTAGTGAAAGTAAGCGATAATGAGGGAGAAGACCGAAAGAATCATGGCCAACGTAAGAAAGTACATCCTCAATGCATCCGTCAGATTGTTGTCCATGACATCGACATCCCTGGAGAATCGATTCGTGATGCGGCCAAGCGGGGTCGTATCAAAGAAGGACATCGGTGCTCGAAGGGTGCGAGTAACGGCCATGCGGA